TCCTTGAAAGAAGAGACTCCAGAGAGCCCCCCTGTCACCCCCCACAGGAGGGCACAGTGAGAAGGCAGGAAGGGAGAGCTCTCCCCAGAAACCCACCAGACTGGTCTTGGACTGGAGCCTCAAGAACGGAAACGTAAATTCCTGTGTCTCTGGAGATCCCTGACCCGTCTCAGCCTTGAGCATTTCTTTCCTGAGTGCCAGTCACGAACTCTACAGGGAAGACGGCGTGAGTGTGAGCCACCCCCGAGATGAAGTGCCACACCAGCAAGGTGATGGCTGAACATCGGGACCCCAGGTGAGGGACTTCAGATGTTCTTCAAGGCCCAGAGGCTAGAAAAGGGGAGAGAGTGTTCTCTTCTACTTTATTAACAAGCTAGTGAGATATGTGATTGGGAATCAGTGATGAGTCTGGGTTTTAATCACGTGTTAGTAAGAAGGTACCACATTTTGTCTTGGTGAGTGTATTTAAATAGATGCGTGTGGAACAGCGGACTGGGTGCACTGGCCCAGGTGGGCCGGCCGACATCCTGCAGCAGACACCCATGGCGAAAGCATTTACTGTCGGCCGGTTATCCCACCCACGCTCCCCCGCTGCCTTTCACTTCGGGCAAGTGGCCAGTCCTGGCCACTGGGTTGTGAGTAGAACTGACTGTGTCAAACCCCTAGGCCAAAACAGAACAAAGGACGTGAGTTCTCTGTGCAGTGTCCTCCCCGGTGGTGACAGCGGAAGCCTTCTTGTTTCTCGTGTTACCCCCACAAGACGTAGTGTCTGAGCCCCGCAGCGAGTGTGTAGAGCAGACCCTCTGTGGACCTTCAGTGGACGTGACATGTGAGCAAGGAAGAAACATGGTTGTGTCAGCCCGCCGGTAACGGGGGTTATAGTGTGTTAGTGCATCGTGGCTCAGCCCACGTTGGCCAGGCTGTCACTGCGGTTAGAGATGCACCCCCCGAGTCACCTTTGGAAGTGAACTATGTGGCTTCCAGGAAACAGGTGGGGAAAGCCCCTTCAGGCACGAACGTTTAAGCACTAGTGAGAGGGGGGCGGACTGTCACCGCCCCGCGGCGGGTTTTACCGAAGTCGTGGCAGTCGCCCCCGGGCGGTGTGCTGGAATGCTGGGTGAGAGAAGCAGAGCCAAGGGTCTCACGTGTCTTTTGAGTGGGTGGGTGGGACTGGCGTACTCCACGTTGACCACTGAGGCCCGGTCACAGGTGTGACTGTGGAGATCACTGCAGGGCGCATCTTCCAGAGTAGTAAGTCAGCTGCAAACACAAGTTTCAATGACCATAGTTGTTCCTGTCTATTCGCTGCCAGAGAGGAAGATCTGGGCCGCAACACCAGCCTTAGCCTTCGAGGAAACATCTTGAACCGGTGGTGCCCACTGCTAAAGAATCTTTAGGACTGAGACAGATGGTCAGTGTTACCAGCAGCTCGAGAGGAAAGTTTTCCTGTAAGATTTTGACACCTCAGTCCCCTTATGATGCAATGCTTGGCACGAGTCCCTGCCTTGGTGGCGTCCCTGGGTTGTGCACAGGAGGGGTGGGACATGTTCAGCTCTGCTGACTGATGGGCGCTCCCAGGCTGTGGCGTTACAACCGACAGGCTGTAACAAACAGCTGTGCCAGGCAGGAATCAAAGCCAGGAGACAGAAAAGGTGTCCGGGGGCGGGGGGGGGGGGGGCATTAAATACTGTCCTGGGACAGGATGCCTGCAGTCAGAAAGATTTGAAAACTTGGTTCGTATCCGTTCCTTCGGGGCTGTCCAGTGGTGAGGCCATGAGTGAGAAGAGGCCTGAGGAAGTCGCCCTGGGCTTGCGTACCACAGGGAGGATGGTCCTGGAGCCCTTAGCAGATTGTTGAAATGACAGCAGTGACGTGATGGAACCGATGGGCAGCTTGGGGCAGCAGTGGGGACATGTCTGGAGAAACTGCCCCTGCTAGATTGTGGAGCGGGCTGCCTGAAGCCCGGGCAGGAAATCTAGCGAGTGGGGTGAGCACCCAGAACCTGGGGAAAGAGGCTCCACCAGGGAGGTGGCCGCTCCCGTCGCTAGTTCACAGTAATCACTCCCAAAGAACAACTCCACATTCGGGGCGTTGCTCCTTAGCGTTTGAATCACCAGCCACCCCTCCCAGTCAGCCGCGTCTAGTGAATCACATGGGAGTGCAGGACATCCTGAGAGTTTCTGTTCCGAAGTGAACGGCAAGGCAGGAGAAAGGCCACGTCGGTGCACTTACAGCAGAGGCGGAGAGCAGGCGCCTGGGAGGCACGTGCCCTGTGGTAGAGCAGAGGCCGTGACAGCGTGACTGGGACACGCAGGTCAGGGTGTGTCAGCAGGCGTGCCTGCTGAGGCTCACGCCTGGAGTGGTGAACGGGATCACCTAAAATAAAATATTTTAGGTGACAGTTTGGCAGACTTCTCAGTGATGGATTCGTGTCTTCTTCAGTGACCTGCGGCGCAGCGGAGAGAGGTCATTGTACAGGATGGGTAGTTCGTACCCTGGATAGAAGCAGAGTAGGAGTAAGCTCTTAAACGTAACTGCAGACCTCCATGTACGCTGCACCACAGTGAAAGATGTTCATGCTCATCGAAGCGAGGTTTGTACTGCTAAGTGGAGTACCTGTGTTACAGGAAGCATCAGTGCACGCACAGTCTGACCTCCCTTCCTGGTATAATAAGCTTCATGAGCACATTTTCCGGGTTACGAAGTTCTGGTTGTATATGAGATGCGGTGGGCAGGGGAAGCAGGCCCTGTGAATGCCCTGCCCAGTGCCCCCTGCGCCCACCTCAGAGTTCACCTCGAGCGCCTGCTTCTCCGCCCGAGGGCTCTCTGCGGCATCGGGGAGTCGGCTGTGCTGCGCACAGGATCAGCTCACGGCAGGAAGTGAGTGCCCCAGAGCAGCTGGCAGTAGGGCAAGGGAGCACCGTGGATTCAGCCCGGCCTCCCCGGCCCCCAGTCCCCAGCCTGCAGAGGAGCAGTTCTGAGACGCTCCGCACGGCCTCCCGCAAGGTGCTCAGACAGTTGAGCTCTGAAAGCCCAATCTGCTCGTTGGTGCTCTATCTCTCAGCCTTTCTCATTGTCCCCAGCCCCACATGTGTTCCTGGGATCACCTGCCAAAAACCACCTGGACCCAAGCCCTTGTGTCAGCGGCTGTATTAAGGTTCTCCGGAGAAACAGAACCAGTGGGGCAGACGGACTGATCTGTCCGTGTTGATGGCCCACGCGTTCATGGAGGCTGGCAGGTCCACAGTCTGCAGAGCCAACGCAGCAGGTCAAGTCCGAGGGTGGGCAGGCTGCTGTAGGACAGGGAGGGTCCCTGTGACTCAGGGACAGATCAGCCTTTGGTTCGACTCAGGCCTTGAACAGCGGGCGGAGGCCCACGCGTGTCCCAGAGGGCACTCTGCCGTCTTCAGCCTGCCACTTTCAATGTTCGCTTTAGTCCCCAAACACCTCCCCCCCAGAACCACTGAGAATAATGTCTGACCAGCTATCTGGGCACCCTGTGGGCCGGTCAAGCTGACATAGAAAACTGACCCTCACAGGGGCCGATTTGGGGGACCCCCAGTCGTCACTCAGGTTAGAGAACACTCCCCCCTTTGGAACGGAAGCCGGAACCTCGAAGGAGAGTGTTTGATGGGAGCCGTCCGTTGCACTCTCTGACCCCCATCCGCACTGCAATGAATGCGGACACTTCTGGGGCCCATTAAGGAGGCACCTGGGCCCTCAGGGAAAACCAGACCTGGTGTTGCCGCCCCTGAGTGTGAGACGAGGGATCTGGACCAGGATGGAGTGTGTGCACCCACACCCCCAGTCCCCCCGCCTCACGTTTCCCCGGACTTTCAGGCACGTTTCTTCTCGCTCCGGAGCAGGCGGTTACTCCCTGTAACAGGGCAGGGCGGCCCGCCTGGTGCTCACAGCACCTTCCCCAGCTCTTGGGGCCCCCCACCCCACCCCTGGCACCCAGCCTTCGGCTCTAAAATGCCCCCCACCCCAGTGATGCCGCTGTCCGGGGTGCTGACCTAATGTGCAGACTTCTGCTTTGGCGCGTTACCCGTCTTCGGTGCTTCCCCATGGTTCTTGTTTTTTGTTTGTTTTGTTTTGACTTTGAATTATTTTTCAAAATCAGCTCAAGAAAAGACTGCAGACTGAAAGCAGGTGTCTGAAGTATGGACTAGAATTCAAGGGTAAACATGAGGGTTTTGCCCCCGTCGAGGTGTGTTACAGGATTTAGGGCTCTGGCCCGTTCACCTTGAAGAAGCAACAGTTTGTTGCTGCGTGCGGTTCCAGAACAGGTTCTGGGGCTCGGCCCAGTTAATGGAGGAGAACAGAGCTGAGTTGAAAGCAACCGGGGCCGCAGCAGGGAGCCGCTGCAGTTCCGGGGTCCCGGGCTGCGCCTTCTCCCTTTGCGCCTCCCTGGCTCATCCGGTCTGCGAGAGCCTGTGCTTTCTGTCTTCTCAGCACCGCCTGCATCAGTCTGCTTCGCTGGGCCCGCCACCGTGCCCACGGCGTCGGCGATCGCTGACGCTGCCTGCCGCCCCCGCCCTGGCTCCAGTGGCTCTAACTACCGTCACTGCAGCTGCTGGGCCGTCCCTTTAGCACGACGTTTTCAAAGTGGCTGAGTCGGACTCCAGGTTCGTGGTTTGTGTTGTGTTCTCGCGTGCGCACCCATCGGCAACCCCACCCACCCTGTACTAGAGCGCCAGAGCCTTTCTCAAGTGGCAGAAGCTCTAACAGCAATACTTTTATGTAAAACAAAACAGAATGGTGCTTTCTTTGTGTGGAAACTGTTATCTCAATAAAAAGATGCACCAAAAGACACACGTTTTTAAAACAATAGCACAAACATTGATAGACCACGTAGCATGTGCCTTGGCCGGTGCTTTATTCATTCATTCGTTCATTCATTCATTCATTTTTAAGAATTTATTTATTTATTTTTAGAGAGAGGGGAAGAGAGGCAGAATGAGAGGGAGAGAAACATCAATGTGTGGTTGCCTTTCACACACCCCCGCCTGGGACCCGCTTGGGACCCAGGTATGTGCCGGGACTGGGAATCAAACCAGCGACCCTTTGGTTCGCAGGCCAGTGCCCAATCCAGTGAGCCACACTGGCTAGGGTTTCGCAGGTGCTTTAAAACAAACCCTTGAGGCAGGTTCTGTTTTACAGATGGGACGGTGAGACGCAGAGAGTTCAAGAAGTTTGCTCCAACTCATACAACATGTGCAGAGAGGGTCAGGTAAGCTTCCTGAGACCGTGGGGCGAGCAAGCGGTACGGTGAGGACTGCGGTCCATGGCCCCCTCCCCTTGCCCTGCCAAGGAGACGCCCCTTCCCTGCAGCCCAGGGGCGGTCCAGGGGTCCCCGGGAAAGAAGAAAGTGGGGGAGGGGGAGACCTACCAGGCAGCGGGCTGCGTCTGCGCGCGGGGTCTGGGAAGGGGGGCTTCCGGGGCTGCAGGCTTGCCAAAACGGGAATGATGCAATCACGCTAATCGCTGCGTCAAAGCGCAGCTCCGGGGGGTGTGGGGACTGCGGCAGAGCTGGCGGGGACTGCGGCAGAGCTGGTTGGGACTGCGGCAGAGCTGGCGGGGACTGCGGCAGAGCTGGTCGGGACCGCGGCCCACAGCCTCCCTCCGTTGCCGCGGCACACTCGGCGGCAAGCGGCACCCACGGCCACCAGCCTTCGTCCCGCGCCAAGACCACCACCTGGAACTACCGGCCACCGCTGAAAACCGTTACCGGGCGCCCAGGGCGCGCCATGAAGTCTGCGGTTGGCTCACGAGGGGTTGGCTCCGGGGGCCGCGCTAGCGGCGGCTGGGGCGGCGGCTGGGGCAGCGGCTGGAGCAGCAGTGGCTGGAGCGGCAGTGGCTGGGGCAGTGGGCGAGGCAGCAGCAAAGGAGGCGGCGGCGATGGCGGTGGCTCTGGAGGCAAGGGCAGCTTCGGGGGACGGCCGCGCAGCTCCGGCGGCGGCGGCCGAGGCCGGGGACGCAGCGGCGGCGGAGAGGGCAGGGACCGCGGCGGCGGCGGGCGGCGGCGCGGCGGCGCGTCCAGGGGCAAGAACCGCCGCAAGAAGGGTATCAAGACGGTGTCGGTGGAACCCCATCGGCACGAGGGCGTCTTCATCTACCGCGGCGCGGAGGACGCGCTGGTCACGCTGAACACGGTGCCCGGCCACTCGGTGTACGGCGAGCGGCGGGTCACCGTGACGGAGGGCGGCGTGAAGCAGGAGTACCGCACCTGGAACCCGTTCCGCTCCAAGCTGGCCGCCGCCATCCTGGGCGGGGTCGACCAGATCCACATCAAGCCCAAGTCCAGGGTGCTGTACCTGGGCGCCGCCTCGGGAACCACGGTGTCCCACGTCTCCGACATCGTCGGCCCCGAAGGCTTGGTCTACGCGGTGGAGTTCTCCCATCGCGCCGGGCGCGACCTGGTCAACGTGGCCAATAAGCGAACCAACATCATCCCGGTCCTGGAAGACGCCCGACACCCGCTCAAGTACCGCATGCTCGTCGGCATGGTGGACGTGATCTTCGCGGATGTGGCCCAGCCCGACCAGTCCCGCATCTTGGCTCTGAACGCCCACACCTTCCTGCGCAACGGGGGCCACTTTCTCATCTCCATCAAGGCCAACTGCATCGATTCCACCGCGTCTGCGGAGGCGGTGTTTGCGTCCGAGGTGAGGAAATTGCAGCAGGAGAATTTAAAGCCTCAAGAGCAGCTGACCCTGGAGCCCTATGAGAGGGACCACGCCGTGGTCATCGGGGTCTACCGGCCCCTTCCCAAGAGCAGCAGCAAGTAGCACCCTGCTGGGGCCGTCCCAGAGACCTCCCCACACCGCCGCCTTCAGTGTTTCTGTGTCCGCGAGGGGCCATCGTGCGACCTCCGTGAGACCGCTGCCTTCAGTGTTACTGTGTATTCACGCGAGCTGTCCCTGAGACCTCCCCACACCTCCGCCTTCAGTGTTACTGTGTACGCGTGGGGCTGTCCCTGAGATTTCCACGACCGCTGCCTTCAGTGTTACTGTGTACTCGGGGGGCCATCCTGAGACCTCCCGAAGACCGCTGCCTTCAGTGTTACTGTGTACACGTGGGACTCTCCCTGAAACTTCCGCCAGACCGCTGCCTTCTGTGTTACTGTGTACGCGTGGGGCCATCCTGAGACTTCCCCGAGACCTCTGCCTTCAGTGTTACAGTGTATGCGTTTCCTTTGTGTGTTGTTTTCCCTTCTTTGGTTTTGCTATTAAATGGCTTAAAGAAACAGTATTCAGGCGTATCAGTGAGGCCAGGCTGGGTTTTGCTACAGTAAATATCCCCCAATCTTTCAAATCCCTAAATTCCTAAGAGCTGGTGATAGGAGCCCATCACAGAACCGCTTGGGAGCTGCACTTACTCTAGTCGCGCAGGGTACGGGCTCCCCAGCGCCCCTCTTCACCAATGCTTCGTCATCTGGGTGGGGGGGGGAGGCAGAAGAGTCGGGGACTTGCTAAGGAGCTTGTCAAGTCACCCTTGGAACCAAGGGGCACTTTGTGTACTTCGGCCAAGTTACAGTTCACTCCAGGGAGTGGCGTTGGCTATTGACAGAGAGTCCTATAGCCTAACGCACCGCGTGTGCCTGAGTCCAAGCCAGAGTCCTAACCGCAGTGTACATTCAGTACTTTGCTCTTTGGCCGGGCCCTTTGCATCCCCCTGGTCTATTTACTCGTCGCCCCAGCCCGGAGGCGGCCCCGTGACCACCTCCCTTTCTCGTGCGGAGCAACACGGCTTCCCAAGGTAACTTGGTCGCACAGGTTCACGTGACTCGTTAGGAGGTGGAACTTAAATGCCGGTCTTTGGGGCTCTGATCCACTACTATTTCCTGTACCCCAGTGGGGTCGTGCCTGCCCGCCACGTGGCCCGCACGGGGCAGACCACGAGTCCCAAACACAGGACAGACGGACGGACACAGGGTGGGCTCTCCTGCTGCACTGTGTTCCATCCCCCACCCCACCCCCACCCCCACCCTTTTCTTAGACTTCAAAACAGCAAAGCAGGAGGGTGGGAAGGGGTGTCGCCCAGCGTCTGGGAAACCGCTGGGCAAACGACTCCCAGGAAGCACCCCTCTCTGAAGGGCATTTCCCGCAGACCCAGAGTTGCTGGGCTCTGTGCACTGCATCGCGGTTCCCCAAGGAGAGTGAGCACGGCCAGGAGGGCAGGGCGTGCTCCAAAACGGGGCCTCCCTGAGGCCTTTCACTCATTCATTCACCCACATGTTGGAAACCACCCCTCCCCCCCGCCCTTCACCGAGGTCGTGGACGTGCAGAGTGGCAGTGGCTGCCCGCTGAGGGGCAGTCGTTGGGAGAGCGGATCCTGAAGAAGTGCTTGGGTGGCTACTGCTGAGGTGAGACACCGTTTTCTGAGGATGTGCTTTGGAACCAAAGAAAGAAGATACATCAGATTTTTTAAAAGGCAGCCACCCATTCACTCCTCCCCCCCAAGTTCCTCCCCCCGCCCCCCCAACACACACACAACCTGCAAAGCCGGGGGAGAGTTAAGTTCAGATGTGTTGGCCAGACCGGCTCAGGCAGAAGAGGGTGAATGGAGAACATGTCCCCAAAAACCCAAACCAGGCATCTGCACAGAGAGGGTGAAGCCAGGCCCGTGACGCCCCTGTGACCGGTGGGAGACTGCACTTCGTTCAGACAGAGGGCGTGACTTGAGCTTGAGGTCCCCCAGTAAGGTCACAGCCAGCAATCAAAACCACGGGACCCTGACTCCGGAACCTGTGGCCTTTCCCCAGAGCTCTGTGCTGGCTCCTTGGCTTTGGAAAGCCCCCTCACCGACCCTGGGCTAATTCACATCCGCTGGGTTGGGCCCCTAGGGCTGGGGACTGATGGCGCACAGGGTGCAGGAAGATCACTCCCAGAATTGCACGGGGTCCAGCCCTTCCTCAGAGACAGCTCTGCCTCCGGAAGAGGCTCTTGGGTCTTCCTTACAGGTGTCTGTCGCCCAGGATGGGGGACAGAGCAGGGGGCGCTTTGGCCTCTTTCTTCGGCATTTGCCCAGAGACCATTCACCGTCCATGTCTGACGCAGCTTGAGGCGGGGCCATCAGTGGAGAAATGGCCTGGAAACCACCTCCCGAAGAACGTCTCTGAGCTGCAGCCGGGGTCCCGGGCCAGAGGAAGGACATGGTGAGCACCAAGAGAAACATGGGAGTGAGGCCGGAGGGAACCTAGGACGGAGCTAAAACCCGGTTCCGGGGAATTAGGGCAGGGGGAGTGTGGAGCTGTAGCTCCGGTGGGCAGCGTGGCCCAGGAAATAGGGAGCGGTGACCCCGGGCGCCCGACCTCCTCAGAGCTGAGAACGTTTGAGTTCCCAGAAGGCACCACTTTGGGATCTCTAGGTATCTTAGGCTAGCCGACATAACCAAATACTCCAGACGGGGTGGCCGAAACAATAGATGTTTATTGTCACACACTTCCGGAGGCTGGGAGTCCAAGGTCAAGGTGCTAGCAAGGTTGGTTTCTGGTGAAGCCTTTCTCTTTGCTTTGTTGATGGCTGCCTTCTCCCTGTGTCTTCATGTGGCCTTTTCTCTGAGAGACGTGGAGAGAGGGAGCAGGAGGGGGAGGAGGAAAGGCAGGGGAGAGAGAGAGAGAGGGAGGGAGGGAGGGGGAAGGGTGGGGGAGGGGAGGAAAGAAAAAGAAGGGGGCCACGGAGATCTCTGCTGTCTCACTTCTTAGAAGGGCACTTATCAAATTAGGGCCCCGTTCTTGCGATCTCATTTAACCTTAACTACCTCTTTCAAGTCTCCATCTGCAAACACAATCCCATGGAGGGTCAGAGCCTCGACATTTTAGGAGAATACAAGTCAGCCCGCAACACTAAGGCTGGATGGGAACTTGCAGCTCCAGAGCCCATCTCAGCGGCTTGCGAGGAAAGCAACGAGCGCTGTGAAACGCCTGCCCAGCGCTCTGCACGTCGCTGTTCCTTCCTCCTGCCTTTGCTCTCAATGCCTGTGCAAGATAACGAGGGAGCTGGGAATCGAGAGCTGCTCGCACAAAGGCCGGGGGTTGGGGTTGGGGGTTGCGTTGGCGTGGCGAGGCAAGGCACTTCAGGAGGGCTAATGAGAGGTCTGGTTCAATCTGGGGAGCTGCTGGCGTTTGCTGCTGAGTGTCAGAGAATTAGCAGGCTGGGCTGGAGCCGAGGTGGAGCCCGCCGGCCCGGGGCCCAGCTGCAATCACTTTCACAGCAGGTGCAGGGAGGTGGGGGCGATGCTCAAAGACACGGGAGGGAGACGGACCTGGAGCCAGAGAGGGTGGGCAGGGGCCAGCGGGGAAGAGCATGCAGACCCGGCCTCCCACCCAGCCCCTTCCTGCCCAGATGTCTCCTGGGATGAAGGGAGGAATAGTGGGGAGGGGGAAACCCCGAGGAAACGGACCTTTGTCCAAAAGAGACTGTTTGAAACCAGAAGGAACCACCTTTCTTTAAAATGGCAGTTTCCCTCCCAGCTGCAAACCAGCCACCAAGCAACGTGCTTTCACACATCTGAGCCGCAGTGAGTACGTTCGGATTTTTCTCCATCCATATTTATCAAGCACTTACGTGCTAGACATGGCGCTAAGCATTTATTTGCTTTTCAAATGCAGGGTCCGTCAAAAGTAACGCCTGCTCCAGTGGGGTTGGTAGGGTAAGAATGTGGGTGTGATAATGTATAGTTTTAATTTCAGCATTTCACCTGAAATGCCATATGGTGTGCTTGAGTGTGACAGTGTTACATTACAGAATCACATGCTTATGATTCTGTAGTAAGAGATTTTGTAATGCAACGGGGGCATTATTTGTGCCGGGCCCTGTATATTGTTTTAAAGCTGATAATGCGAACCATCTGAGTGGAAAACACGGAAACGTAAACGTTCAGCTTGGTGACTTGCCGTGAAATGAGCCCTGGTGTCCGAGCCCCCCCGCCCCCCCCCCGCCGGAGTCTGTCTGGCCTGTCCCCTGTCTGTTCCCACTCCCGGTCTGTCCCACACCCCGGCAGGCCGCACGAGCCTCGCCTGTACACGCTCCCAGGCCCTGCCCTTCCCACAGCCTCCTTCGAGCCACCCCTCTCGGCCAGAGCTGGGAACTCAGGAGCCCTGGTCTGGGGAAGACGATGGACGTGGGCTCCCTGTGCCTGAGGCTTGGTCTGGAAGGTGGGGACCTGGGCTCCGGGGTGGGGGGAGGGGGTGGCACGGCGGTTGTTCCCCGTGGACTTCTCACCCCATGGGACAAGGTCCAGACAAGGTGGTGGGGCAGCTAGAAAGTGGAGACGTGGGATCTCACGGAGCAGACTGTCCCCCTTCTCTAAGGCAGTGAGATTAAAGTCAGGTGCTCCGGGGAAGGCCGGGCGGGCGTCGGCGGCGTTGAAAGCCCCCCAGCTGACTCTAATGTGCGTGCGGGGCCGATGCCCGTGGTCTAAAATCCCATGCCATTCCGGTCTTTCCCCGGGGAAGGCAGAGTTAGGACGGTAGTTTGAATAACGGCTGAGCTGTTCTGTGGCTGGTGCCTGGGGCCTCCAGGACGGCACAGGACGCTCCCCCGGATTCCAGAGAGGAGGGCTGACGCCTGCGGCTGAAAAGGAGGAGGCAGACCTGTGCTGCGTGTAGCATGTGCCGGTCAGAAGCCCTGCGGCGCTGCCAGGTGCCGGAGGGGCTCAGACAGCAGGGAGCCCGAGATGAGAGTTAAGTGTTTACAGGTGGTCCTGGGCTCGGGCTGTTGCAACTGCACGATTTTTCCGACTTGACGGTGGTGCAGAAGCCATCCATGTTCAGTACTTGACATTTCAAATTTTGATCCTCTCCTGGGCTGGTGCTATGTGAGTGGGGTCCTCTCTCGTGACGCCGGGCAGTGGCAGCGAGCCAGCCCCCAGGCACCCCACGACCTCGAGGGTAGACAACAGACGCTCTGCAGTGCGCTGCGCCGCCATCAGTCTCTGGATGCTGTGTTTCGTGGTTTTGCATCCCATTAGGTGTCTGCCTGCTGGCGTGTTCCGCTGTGTACGTTAATGACGGGGGCTCGTCCCCCCGCTGTGCTTTTCACTCTCGGTACGGTGTGCAATAAATACACGGATTGTCGGTGCCTTGTTATACATGCAGGGGCCCTGTGTTCTGTGGTCTGGCCTGACTGGAGGCTGATGTGAGTGTCTGGAGCACATCTGAGGGAGGTCGGGCTGAGCTTTGGTGTTCGGTAGGTTCGCTGAATTTTTTAATCGGGTTCGTTGGGATGACATCGGTTCACAAAACCACAGAGGTTTCCCGTGTACAGACCAATGAAGCGTCATCTGCACACACATCGTGCGTGGGGAGAATTGCAGATGATGACGCCGGAGGTGGTTTCTATGGGGGCATTGGCTTCCTCACCTGCTGCTGTGATTTTCCCACCCAAACCTCCTTCCTCGCCACTGGTTTCTCCTCCTCACTGCCTTTAGGAACCCCACTGCAACCCCACAGGACTTCCTACCCCTTGACACATGCTTTCTAGCGTCCCCCCAACTCCCCTGCCCGTGTCTTCACGTCCCCCCGACCCGACTCAGCATTCACGGTCCCTCATTATAGCAGCCTCCGTGCTTTGGTCCTCGCCCTGTCTTAATTTTTGCTCACAAACTGGCCGGTTCTTTCCTGAACCCACCTGCTTCTTGAAGTGAATTGTTAAATGGAAACAAAGCTGCCAATCTATGCTACTGTCACCTCGTTTCCCAACTTCTCCTAAGACCAGGAGTTCATCGGCACAGGACCTGGCCTTCCAGGTTACCAGGTGTCTGAAGTGGCTCTTCCTGATACGAATGGCCATTCTTTTCACAGGTGTCCTTGTTGCCAGTCCCACGTCCTGTGGGGTCTTGTTCTTCCGTGGGATTCCACCTCTCTCAGTTGGGGTCCCTGCATCAGATGGGTTGTGCTGTGGTAGCTACCCCTCAAGTCTGGGCCTAAATGAAGTTTTCCTTCCTCGTGGTATATAGCACTTTCATTCTTTTGTGGGGGTTTGGGGACAGGGGCTTCTGTCAGTTTTACTCACTTAGGGATCTGGACTCACGGACTAGCTTCAAGGTTGCTGGCTGCGATACTGGAGGGAAAGGAGGGTTCCTGTCCCAAGTTCTCAGGCACGACTCACTCACGAGTGGGCCAGAGTGTCATATAAACCTGCTCCACCACAAGGGAGCCGGGACGTACTATCCAACTATTTGTCCAGGTGGTGGGGTTCTGATGTCTGCTCAACAGGAGCCTCGTTCTGCATGTGGTGAGGCACATGGACCTTAAATATGCCTGAGCCCTGGCTGGGTGGCTCAGTTGGTTGGAGCATCATCTGGTGCACCAAAAGGTTGCAGGTTCGATTCCTGATCCGGGCACATATGGGAGGCAACTGACTGATGTTTCTCTCTCTCAAATCAATAAACTTATCCTTGGGTGAGGATTTTTAAAAAGTACCCACTTTTAAGTTAAGGGGATAAAGTCCCTAAGATGAGTCAGGTTTTTTTAAAGTTTATTTTAGGAAAAAATACTTAAATGTCCTAAAAATCCAGAAGCAGAATATCTTAAAATAGGAATTTATGAAGCTTTTAACGTAGGAAGTGACCTGTAGACTTTAGAAGCTGAAACACTAGCTGCCCTGGGTGTAGTCGAGTCCAGGCCAGTGTTATTTCCTAGCCCCAAACTGCTTTTACTCTCCGTAGCTTATTTCCAACTGCTTCTGTCCCAGCATTTCCACGCCCCATTCATCATTTTATCCCTTAGTTACCGGCTCACACCGCTTTCACCCTAGCTCTTGCTCACCGGATTTTTTTTTTAAATGGGGAGGGCATGCAGTGTGCATGACATTGGCATGTTCTCAGTCATCCCCGTGTGCCTGGAGTCTAGACAGTCATGCAAGTCAGTCTTCCGACTTTATTCTTCACGTTAAAAAAGATGATCAGTCTTTTTACATATGTTTACCAGGTGCTGCCCATTAAAGACAAACACGTGAGGTTTAGTTGGGAGGAAACCGTGGGCCCATGCCGCCGTGAGGTGCGGCTGACAGCTTGCAGAGACCAGGTGCTGCGTACGGTCATGGCTGGCGTGAGGGGACACGCCTTCCCAGGAAAAGCAGAGCCTTGCACGTGTTAGCAGACGAAGCCTTACATTTCAAGGCCCGCATCTCCAAAGAACGCACGCTTGTGCCCTCCAATGTGGTGGAGAGGAAGGTGCCGAGCAGCCGTCACCGTGTCCTGCGCGGGGAGACCTGCGAGGCAGCCCTCTCTCTGCAGGTCACCCCTCCACCTGCATTTCCTTACTGCGCGCCTCCTGCGTGCCCAGGCCTGGGGACAGCGGGGCGGGCAGCCTGGACAGGCCCTGGCTCTCACGGCAGCTTCCATTCTGCCGTCGCTGGTCTCAGGGAAACCTTACAGGGAACCACAAGGGAAATGCGGGAGCACAACGTGCAAAATAAATAAGTAACAAAAGGATACGCAGAGTAAACAACTTAGAGAATTTATTTGGAAAGTAGGAAATAAGCAGGACTTTAACATTGACTCAGAGTATGAACGACACTAGAAAAAGTTAAACTACAGAAAAGAAGGCAGAGACTGAGGTTGGCTCGGTGGCCATACGATGCGAACCAGCAAAACCCAAGTGTCTTTCATGCAAAGCAGCATTAAGGAGTATGAGATGTTTCCAGAACAGGCCACAGGTATTTTAAAAATTTACATAAGAAACTGTACATAAATGAAAAAATAAATTAGACAATTTACACGAAATGTTTCATAGGTTACAACAGGCTATAACTTAGTTTGTTACACATCATACATCTTTACATGAGAGGTCGGCGCCAGCGTCCCGACGCGACACAGCCCAGTCAGACTGGACGACGACGCGGCAGAGTAAGGCAGCTTACACGGAAGTGGCTTGCGTAAGCAAACTCAACCCACACAGACATCTACGTATGGTTTGGTCAGTGACTGGGCAGAATTAAGACAAATGAACTTGTTAAAAAGTAAAAAAAAAAAAAAAAAAAAAGTGAAAGCACACAATGTATAAACATGATAAAACCATCTTAACATGATTTACATCTACCTCCACTCATTACATATGGACAAGGAGACTAGTAAATTGATGTCAGGTGTATGACGTTAGCTTTCATCCTGAATGTTATAAACTGAAAAGGGTACCTTGTAAAAAAAGTGGCAAATTTTAAAATGGCATAGTGCCAGTGACAACTACTGACTGACAGATGAAAGGCAAAACCACCACCCAGTGCAGAGACGGGGTGGAGGGCTAAGCGGATCGCCAGCTGCCCGCAGTCCTCACTTGTCCTGTATGCGTTACGTCAAAGCTGAGGCTTCCTTTGAGAAGCTACCCAACTGTGAGCACTGCAATGTGTGAAAGATGTTAACAGCAAAAAAAAAAAAACACTATCTCAGAACTGAAATGTAGTTGCATACTTATATAATCCAAAATCTTAATTTTTAATTTCATTTACTCCTTTGAAAAATACAATCCTCATTAGTTCTTTTAAAAAACAAATTAGTGGCAGCTGAAAATGTGTAAGAAAACTAACCTTTGACTACAGAAAGAGCCAGAATGTAAATAAAGTTATAATGCCCACATAGTTTTGAAGTCAGCACAACGAAAAGCCCGGATAGCTGTACAGATTAAAGTGTGCGCGCATACACACACACACACACACACACACACACACACACAGGAACATACACATATCCCTTCGTGTTGCTTTAAGATCTGTCTACTTGGCCATCACAGGCAGTAACTTAACACGGTGAGAAATAACTGACACCATTCTACTGGTTTGGTGGGAATTCAAAATCTAGTACCAATCAACACAAACAAATGAAATTAATTCTAACACATGATGCTAATATGTGATCAGACTATTTCAGTTGCTGCCACAAACGAAGCAAGTAACTGTCTTTCCCAGGAACCTGATAACTGACAATCCCATTGTAACAAATCAACATCCTCATTTTCCAAGGAAAGGCAGTAACATTTAGCAAAGCTAGACCAGTGACGGGTGCCGTTTCTAGCACAATACCAAGTTGTGACCCCACCTACTGAACACACAGGCAGACACCAGAAGTCACAGGCGCTACCAAGACATTTGAACTTTTGAAAGTGGACATTACTCAGAAGTTAGATATGGCTGAAAAGCTGGGCTGAGTTACTTACTACAACACAATTTTTAAAGATAGGCAATTAAAATACTTTAAAGGAAGAAAAAAACCCCCACTTACTTGGGTCCTTGCCGATTACCAGGCTCAGTAGAAAATATAAGACAACTACTGCCTAAAATATTGAAAATAGGTGGTAGCATAAAGCACATTATTTTGTGAGATAATCTGATGATACAAGCAAAGCTGGCCAAATTCCTTCAGTATTACAATAAAGCATTAAAATAAACCAACTTATAGGGCAAACAGGCCATTGCTGACATTTTATGGCAAACCATCTCCAACAGGTCAAAGAGTATTATTACAAAAGGCAATATATTTCTAGTACTTTGTTTATATACACTACAAAACAGAAAGTTAAGTGAAAAATAATGCACACTTATTTTTCTGGTGGTTATTGTTTCAGTATTGACATGGCTTTAAAGGAGAATTTCTAAACTACATTCTCAAATGCAACAGACTGAAGAGCATTAAGTGCTCAATTCTCCCCCCACCCCAAATGATAAAATATGAAAAATTTCCCATCACAAACAGTGCTTCCAGAGGACACTTGGAAGTGCTCGCCCTGCGCGGCATTCCCCCGGAGAACGCAGCCTTAGCAGTCAAGGCAGAGCACCGCCGGACGGAGGGCCACCCTCCCTCTTGGCCGCACCACTCGGCTCACAGAAAATAAACTTTTGGGAGCCAGGACGTACAGTCCGGCAATCACACCTGCATGCCAAGGCAAGAAACTCAGCAACCTTTGCAGAGCCTGACATTTGGCAAATATTCCGAACCTCTGAAAAGGATTGTCAGTTACCACGTGTGGCGTTGGCAACGGCACTGACTTTCCTATACTGAGGGTCCACGTATTTAAGTTGGAGCATCTGACCAAGGAACTGCCCGTGTCAAAAGGCGGGCACGTCTACTGATACTCTCTTTGGAGAAGTCGGGGTGGAGACCTGAAAGCCATTCATTCTGAAGTCTCTAGTTAAAAGGCTGTCTTTTCTGAGGGGTGGTGTCGATGGTGGGAAGTTCTAGACTTTGTGTCCTTTACTAAGCCTCAAAACAATTGATAGTGCTTCCTGCATTTGAAAAATGTTATCTGAGTTCTTAAGAATGAAAATTAAGTCCAAAAATTCAAGACTTTCTTTTGTGTACATAGCTCCACAAAGAATGAACAGGGCTTCTTTTTAATCCCTTAAGATTGGCTTCTCAAAATTAAATTAGGTAAGGCGGGGCCAAACTGAAGTCACTGGCATCATCCAATTTGCTTCAGCGAAGGGAATGTGCATTCTGGAGCCTGCTGAGGGCAGACAGAATGTGTCCTGGGCAACTTTATTGTTGTCTATTGTTGTCGCTGGAAGGCTGAGATGTATCACCAATGCCACCAGGATGCGACATAAGTTTTTGGAATGGTCAGAAATACATGCACTGGCTGGTATGGCTCAGTGGACTGAACATCAGCCTGCAAAACAAAGGGTTGCGGGTTTGATTCCCAGTCAGGGCACATGCCTGGGTTGCGGGCCCCCAGTAGGGGGTGAGAGAGAGGCAACCACACACTGATGTTTCTCTCCTCCTTCTTCCCCTCTCTAAAAATAAATAAATAAAATATTTTTAAAAATAAGAAAAAGAAATACAGCTTGTCTGTGTAAAGTGAACTAGTCCAAATGAGCTACCTCCTACCCCCTTTCTCTTTTTAAAAGACAAGTTTCCCGTATTTCCCCCCTCTCAAACATTCTTTTAAAAGCCCATTCGTGAAGTTTTCATGGACCCGTGATGGTGTTCCTTTTGAAGAGCTAGCTCTAGAATGGCACGAACACAGGAGCCACCGCCCAAGTGTGGCCCCTGAGAACTTGAACTGGGTGGCGGGTCTCAACTGAGATGTGCTGTAGGTATTAAAATACAAACTGGTTTTGAAGACTAAGTACAAAAAAAAAAAGGGTAAAATATCTCCTAGACAACTTTTAATATTGATTACACGTTGAAATAACATACTGGATATACTGAGTTAAATAGAAATGTACAATGAAAATGCATTTCACCTGTCTCTGTAATGTAAGTGTGAAAGTGTGAAATCACGTGTGGCTCACACTGCACTTCCACCAGCACCGTCCAAGAGCAGCCTTGAGGCACTGCACTGACTGGGATCGGAACCGAACCCACTCACCGCCGTGTTCTCTCGGGGAATCCCTGGAGATCAGAATCCAAAACTGGGCTCTGGGCAGGCCCCCCCCAATTCCAGAGCACACCTGGGAAGAGCCACGCGCGCGCGGGCCGAGGTGGCCCTCGCTGCGCAGGCATCTAATTAGAGGGCCGCGGTTCTTGGGGACAGAAGTCTGCACCCAGCCCCACATGGAGCAGCGCCGGTCCAACGGGCTGAGGCCATGTTGGCTGCACCTCCATTTACAGGCCGCCCCGCCCCGCCCCGCGGCCGCTGATGGAGGACAGTGCGCCGCAGGAACGGGGCGGGAAGTCACGGTCCTTCAAAAGAAACCTTTTGTGCAGGTGCCCAGATCACAACATTTTACAATAAACTGAACAGATAACGTTTGGCTGGAATGATCTGGTCGCTACAATGGAAATATTAATGTTTAGCAGTAGGTTTTCAAAGTGACAGCTGATTGACACGAATTCAAAGTTCTAAATATTCTAAATTCTAAAAACTGACATGGACGTCCTTTCCCCTCTACACATTCACCCCAGTTATTCATGTTAATGTCTTTAGGTAGAAAAAACTAAATTTTACGCAGTTGAGCACAGATTTTAGAGATGCTGAGGAGGAATGTCTTCATCAAGCACCTCTTGACAGTCCCCTGGAAACTATTCTCTGCGGAGCAGAGCTGGACTCTGTGGGAAAACACATCGTGACACTTCTTCCTGTGATGTAAACAACGTTCACGCTCTTCAGAGCACATTCCGCTTTACTGATAATTTGAGGAAGTGAATAGTTTTCCTAAGTCTCCCTATCTCGTAAACCATGAGAAACAGTTTCACAACTTTGCTGACCTACCAAAGTGAAAATCTGGAAAAATTTATAACAGTATAAAAAATAATTCAAAATAGAGAACAAATTCTAAGGCAAAGAGATTTATAAATTTTGGAACTCTAGTTCTTTCATTACCAGAATGTACAAAACACTGATTCTTTCATAATTCTGCAGTACTGTCAGAGTTCCAGAGTTTCAAAATAACTCTTGGATTTCCATACCATTAATTTAGAATACATGTGATTTTGCTGCTGTTCACAACAGAAATGAGTCTTCAGCTCTGACGGTTTGGACCTGATTAAACAGAAAGCACTGAGCTGGGGCCTGACACCCCCGCGGTGTGGAGAGACCTCTCCCGATGCACGCAGACCACGCTCCACCAGCGCACTCCCGGGGCCCCATCAAGTGCTCTTTCAAATAAGGAATCAAGTCTCCAATGAAAAAGTTTTAAGCATTTTAAAATGTACTAACTAATAAAATACAGGAAGTGCAATGCCACCAAATATGTGCATTTTCTAGTATCTGTTGGAAATTAAGACTACTATTTAAGAACAATATTTCAATTAAATTATGGCATTTGTAAAAGGTACTTCTGGGAAAAGATAAAAACATGATTTTGGTGGGGGCATGTTAGGAAAACTATGATAATGAATAATTAATAATCCCTTAACATTTCCAAAATCACATAGAAATGATCATCTTTGATTGCCATTTCGATTAATTTTGATACAGGGTACGTTACTGTCTGCTTACCAGTAACCAAAGCACACACAGAACAGACTTGTAACACGTACTCAGAATTAATTATTTTCATGAGCTAAACACGTCTGAGACTTTAAAGATTTGTGTTTGAGCATACAGTACCGCAATGTTGGCTACATAAAATAGAAAATCTGTTTGAGAGAAGCTCAGTAATCAGAGGCTGTATTGCATTTAAGGATTTAACACTGACTATGTACAGAAGGGAAAGCATTTCAGTTGGAAACACTTCACCTGTTACCCAGTTCTCGCTGTAATATGGCAACATTTAGCAGCTTACTGTTTTGACATTTAAAAATTAACAGAAATAGTGCTACTCTTTCATCCTTTGGTTCCCAGTGACAAATAACACAGTAAAATGCCTCTGGTTTTCAGTTCCTCCTGGGTGACATTAGCAGACAGAAACCTGACGCTTTAGCTGAAATTCGGCAGCCCAAGAAGTGCACCAACTGCTCCGAAGTACCCCTGTAGAATTTTAAAACAATCGTTAATGCAGTGCTGCTTTTAAATGAGCATATAGTATCAACCAGTTACAAACACATATTTAGCCCCAGCTGGTGTGGCTCAGTGGGCTGCGTGCTGACCCGTGAACCAATGGGTTGCAGGCTGGGTCCCCAGTAGGGGGCACTCAAGAGGCAACTACACATTGATGTTTCTCTTCTCTCTCTCTTCCCTCTCCCCTCTCTAAAATAAAAAAATAAAATCTTTTAAAAAGAAAACTAAAAACAAGTATTTACATTATACTAATTTAAGAACACCTATCTAGAAATATACCAATTTCTGTTTTGTCAGCTATAATGAAGAATTTTAGCTTTAGCTGGTGTGGCTCGGTGGATTGAGTGCTGGCCTGTGAACCAAAGTGTCACCAGTTCGATTCTGGTCAGGGCACACACCTGGCTGGATCCCCAGTTGGGGGCCTGCAAAAGGCAACCGACTGATGTTTCTTTCTCTCACACATCAATGTTTCTCTCCCTCTGTATCTCCCTCCCTTTCCCCCTTCTCTAAAAATAAAAAAATATCTTAAATAAAAACAAAAACAAAACACAAAACTGTATTCTCAATATATATGCCTTTGAAATACCTATTTTTAAAGTGTGGCTTTCAGACACGAAAGCTTCTAGAGCTATTATGGCAGTCCTGTGCCCCGCCCCCGCGTTCTCAGTGAGGTCCCCAGGCTCTGCCCGCCACTTGCCTCCGCGTGTCCCGTGCTGATGCAGCTGCACGAGAGCCCACAGCTGCGGTCTGCACAGGGCGAGGGTGACAGTGGGGCCTGGAGCTCTGGGGAGAACACAGGCTGAGCCCATCTGACTGCCCAGAACCAAAATCATTCAAAGTGAAGTTCCTTACTCTGAAACATGATGTGACCTGTACTCGCTTAGATCAGAATTTAACTTGACTGTAATGAACAAATATGGGGGGAAAACCCCCCAAACTAGAAAACAATAATCTCCAAAATGCTAACAGTGGTTACCTCTGGCAGTGTGGGTGAGGTTGTGGTTGTGTGGTGGGAAGATTAGGGAGAATTTTCATTGCTAAGTTATATAGTTTTCTACTGTTCACATTTCACATTTGTTACCCCAGGGAAGAAAATCAAATTAAAAGAAAATTACAAACAAATCAACAAACAAATGATCCACGTAGTGTACAGGCAGCCCAGCACTGACGGAGCTCACAGACCTGATGCTGTGCTCTCCCTCTCAGGAGGACTCTCAAGTTCTCATCCAAACGGGGTGCTGGCCAGGTCACGGCGCGCCCCTGCCCCATTTCAGGCTGAAGTGAGGGCGTCAATGCAGCACTTAGGCAAGTCTTGGCTTTGTGCTTCCCTTCCAAACACCGAGCAAGACACAGTGCATGAAACCCACGCACAAAAGCAGGCTATTAAAACTCAAGACATTGTGCTGCCATACCTCATGCTCTAGAAACAACGCTTTCAGTTGTCCTTTCGACCAATAATCCAGTGCATACGCCAGAAGCTTCATCGAGAGAGTATTGACTCGTAAGAAGTTTCCAACAAAGACAACTCTGTTTATTTTCTAAGAGGAAAAAAAAAGAAAGAAAATGACTTCAAGAAGGCATCATGAGTTGATTTTACAACAGGAAAGGCTTTACAAAATCTCTACTTAAAAATGTAAACAAGTAACTTTTTATTAGGGCTTGTTACATTCCTGGTATATACCTCCATAATCCTGTATTTTTTAAACAGATTAGCTCTGGATATGTTACTTCACATTTATCAAAACCCAGAGAATGCATACCCAGAATGAACCCAGATGCAGCTCTGGGTGACAATGATGTGCGATGTGCCAGTGCGGGCTCACGGGCGGGGGGGGGGGGGGGGTGCGCCCACGCAGTGCCGGGCTGTGTGTGTGTGAGGGAGTGGACCTGCCAAGTCTCTGCACTTCCCATGCATTTTTGCTGTGACCCTAAACCTAAAACTGCTCTAAAAACCAGTCTATTTTAATTGTATTTTCCCCATTACCATTTAGTTTCCCTATAGCCTCTTCCACTTATGCTCTGCCCCCCCCCAATAAAGTCTATTTTAAAAAAGAAAAGTTCTGGAAACGACCCTAGTAAATGATTATAGAGACCTGTTTTTGAAAAAGGCCAAAAAATAACCCCCTGAACGTAACACCTTGGAGAAACACTGCTGACAAGACAAAGGACAGTCTTACAGGGAGGAGCTGGCACTCTCCGGAACAGGTGTCTCCAGAAAACCTATCTGCACTCTCACAGTAACATACTGACTCCACGCTGAAAGTGACTGTGTAGACTACGGCCTTCACTGCTGTGAAGACAATTAATTGGCCAGTGAAAATCTAGACCTACGGGGCTAAGGAAAAAGGTCCCAGAGATGAAATATTCCTAAAACCAGGGTTAAAATGCAGGCTAGTGACTCTCTCCACCAACCTAACTACACTGTTATTCTGGATTTAAACAGTAATCCAGGATTAATTTGAGTTTTTGTTCTCTCTATTCAGAGACTCCCCTCACCTCCAATATCTACAGGTATAATTCTTTCACGTCCTTCAAATCTTTGCCCCAAGGCCACACTTTCAGTAAAGCCTCCTCAACCAGCCCATCACACAGTAATCTGCCCTCTGCCACGCTCCGGTCTACTCTCTGTTCTCTTGCTGGGTTTTCTCTTTCTGCCACTAACACAAACTAGTGTACTTCTTTATTTCCTACGTCACCAGAGTAGATGCCGGAGTCAGAAATCACTGTTTTCTTCACTAATGTATCCCACGTGCCCAGAACAGTGCCTGGCACATGGCAATATGTAAACGTTCATTCATACTGAATGAATGTACAAATACAGGGTTCCCTCAAAAAGCAAATTCTCCGTTCAGTTAAAAAGTACTCGATATTTGCAACAATAAAACGGACAAATGTGTCTACCACATGAGAGCAGAACTGTGCAGGCCCCTCCAAATACTGTGCAAACAGCCCCGATGTAAGCCCGGCAGCGCGTGGTCTCGTCGGCACACACGACCCACACTTCCCGCGAAGAGCAGTCTCAGCGCCTTCATAGCCCTGTACAATGCTGCTTGATCCATATGCAACAAGGCAGCACTGTAAAGAAGCCGAGGGCAGCAAGAAAACTCCCAAGCACTTCACTCATCTGATGCAACATTAACATAAAAGAAAAAAAAAACAAAACCCCGGCTTTTTTCTCTTACATCTTAAGAGATTTAGGTCGTGTACAGCCACGCACTACATAAGAACATTTTGGACCACAAATACGATGGGGGCCCGTAAAATTATAACAGCTGGAAATTTCCGTTGCCTAGAGATGCTGCAGCACAGCACGTTATTCAAGTTTTCCCGGTGACGCCAGTGTGAACCAACCACGGCGCTGCAGGTCACGTCAAAGCATGGCACCCAAGACATGACAATGATCATGACTGTGTCACTGGTTCATGTGTTCACCATGCTATTTTACTGTTATTCTAGAGTGCACTCTTTCTGCTTCCGAAAAGAAAGTCTGCTACAGAATAGGATGCCACATTACACCAGCAGCAGCCTCACATATCTCGTGTTCGCTGGGTCTCTTGGTTGCAACCTTTCATTGTCGTCTTTTTTTAAATTATATTTTCTATCCTCACCTGAGGATGTGTTTATTGATTTTAGAGAGGGGGGAAGGGATGGAGAGAAACACTGATGGGAGAGAGAAACATCGACTGGTTACTCTTGTGTGCACCCCAACCAGGACAGAGCCCACAGCCTGGGCGTGTGCCCTGAGTGGTAACAGAACCCATGACATTCTGGTGGACAGGACGATGCCCGACCACCCAACTGAGCCAGGCCAGCCAGGACCGCACCCTTCCCTTCCCTTCCCGTGCTCATCTTGGTCTCACGCTGCTCCGTGTAGTGATGCTGCTCTGTGTAGTGATGCACTGTACAGGTTGGTAGCCCAGGAGCACCAGGCTCTGCGGCACAGCTCAGGGGTGTGTAAGCCACGCCACCTAAGTTTGTGGCAAGTGCTCTCTGTGATGTTCACACAACAATGAAATCGCCTGATAATGCGTTTCTCAGGGCGTGGCCACTGTTAACCAGCACGTGACTGTATTTCCAAGGTGAAACGGAAATGTTGATTTGTCCTATTCCCAATTCGAATTCAGGCTACTTTCTTTAAAGGTAACGTAACAATGGGTACAGAGCACACACATGTAGTGAGTCCTGGGCTCTGATGCACTAGGCCTGCATTTGACAGGCCTCCTTAAAGACCAGGAAGAAACCCTGTTGTTTGTACACAGAACTGCATCCGCATTTTTCAAATAATTAAATTTTTTTACCTCATTAACAGCACACATTCGTGCCACAGAACCAATATTATTGGTGATGGTAACTAAAGTAGCTCTTGCTAGATCTTCTTTACTAACAGATTCGCGCTTCTCCTTGTAAATCATGTTGCCAAAACTGCAGAGAAATGAAAAAGCAAATAAAATCAAATCTGCAGATAAAAAGCAACACTTCCTACATTTTGGGAATTTCTCCTACAGATAAATCTACACATACACAGGGTTATTCATTGATCAAATGAACTGTACATAGCAAAAATAATGGTAACAACCCAAACATCAAACAATGAGATATTGTGAAGCTGTTAACAGGGAAGAAAGGGAGGGAGGGAGGAAGATAAGGGAAGAAAAGGGGGATGGAGGGAGGAAAGAAAGGGAGGGGAGGCAGGCAGAGAGCCAGATGAGGTTATATTGCTGTTGAAGAGTATATACAGCCCTGGCTGGTGTGGCTCACAGGACTGAGGGCCAGCCTGCCAACCAAATGGTCGCCAGTTCGATTCCTGGTCAGGGCACATGCCTGGGTTGCAGGCCAGGTCCTCCGGATGGGTGTGTGAGATGCAACCCATAGAAATGTTTCCCCTACACATCAGTGTTTCTCTCCTTCTCCTTCTAAAAATAAATAAATAAAATCTTTAAAATAAAAGTATAGTGTGCTGTTCAATGGCATATGAATGTTATCTTTTATGTAAGTGGAGGGCAGGATATGATTTTGTATCTGCATAGAGAAACACTAAAAGGGTACTCCAGAATAAAAATGGTTTCCCATGGGCTGCACTCAGGAAGACCTTTAATATCTAATTTTCAAGTGAGTGTCCAAAACTTGGAGCCTACACTGGGTAGGAGGAAGGCCCCTTATAATTTCCTGATGTATTTGATGCTTTCTGAAAACTAAATAAGCAACTTCATTTATTTTTAATTTTTCTTTATTGATTTTAGAGAGAGGCAGGGAGAGAAAGAGACAGGGGAAATACTGATTTATTTACGCATTCACTGGTTGATTCTCGGATGTGCCCTGACTGGGGGTCGAACTGGCAACCTCAGTGGGTCAGAGCGACGCTCTAGCTTGCCAGGCCCAACTTCATTTATTTTTAAATTTTCAATTACAGCTGACACACAATGCTGTATTAGTTTCAGGTGTACAACATAGTGACCAGACATTTATACAACTTAGGAAGTCATCACTGATAAAGTCTAGTGCCCGTCTGACACCATACAGTGACTACATTTTTACTGCCTGTATTCCCTGTGCTGTACTTTACCCTGGGACTGTTTCTGTCTCTGGTAATTTGTCCATCTTCATACGCTCCTCTGTATCTGTAGGTTCGTTCATTTTTTTTTTTTTTTGTCTTTCAGATTCCACATAAGTGAATCATCTGGTATTTGTCTTTCTGTCTGACTTATTTCACTTAGCATAATACCCTCTAGGTCCATCCATGTTATTGCAAATGGAAAGATTTCATTATTATTTTTTTTAATGGCCAGGTAATACTCCATTGCACACACTTACTGTGACTTCAGTATCCAATCACCTAAGGACGGACACTTGGGTTGCTTCCGTATCTTGGCTATCATAAATACCACCGAATGAACATAGAGGGGACTGTGTCTTTTCAAATTAGTGTTTCGGATTTCTTTGGATAAGTACCCAAAAGTGGGACTGCTGGGTGGTGCGGCAGTTCTACACTGAATATTTTCAGGAACCCCCACACTGCTTTCCGCAGCGGCCGCACCAGTCCGCACTCCCACCAACAGTGCACCGGGGCTCCCTTTCTCCACGCCCTTGCCAACACTTGTTTGTGGACTCACTGGTGGTGGCCATCCTCACAGGTGTGCGGTGATACCTCTCTGTGGTTTTAATTTGGGTTTCTCTGATGATTAATGATGCTGAGCATCTTTTCATGTCTACTGGCCATCTGTGTGACCTCTCTGCAGAAATGTCTGTTCAGGCCCCCAGCCATTCTGTAATTTGATTGTTCAGGGTGTTTTTGGTGTAAGTTGTCTAAGTTCCTTACAGGCATATATTCCGGATATAAGTAAGCCACTTTAATTACAACATAAATGTTAAACTTACCTAGACGCTACAGCCCAGCCTGGCAGGCCAAATCTGTCATAATCCCCTCCATAAATGTCACGGACCAGCTTGTCGGCGTGGGTGCTGTCACCTTTGGACGCCATTTCAAGCGCCTCTTCAAAGCTCTCACAGCCGGTCAGTAAACTGCATAAGCCCAGAAAGGTGCCCCCTCCAAGGCTATAAACAAACAAACAAACAAACCAAATAAATCAGTGCTCCATTTGAGCTACATTTACCCACTGTATTCCTTCTCCAAAGAAGAAGGGCGGAGCATTTAATTATTCAGTAAACACACAAACACACTGCTAGTGCTAAATGCTGAAATGCGAACACAGTGAGGAAAGGTTAGGAATGCTCAGCCACACCAACCTGTCGACCAAAGAATAAGCCGAAGAGGAAGACTAAGGGAAAGACTCCTCCGTGCGAACGACACGAGGACAGGCAGGCCTTTTCTGTCTTCAGTAACTTCATCTGATACTTCATATTTTTATCACCAAGAATAAATGTTTTTGTGTGTGTAAAAGGATTACATATTAAAAATTCATACCGTATGAATTAGAAGGAGAAAACTTGTGAGAAAACATTCTAAATGACTTCCAGGCAATGATTTTGTGAAAGGTCTATTTACTTGGCCTGACAAGGCTGAAGTCAGATCAGTGAGCTACATTAACATTTAACATGACCCAGGAATAAAGACAGTGAGGAAATTTATGTCAGGCTGCTCATCACGTTAATGACAAAAATGTACTTGGTTCTAGCATTCTTTTGGATATGCTCACAAAATAAAACCAGGCCTCTCTAATCCCTAAAAGTAAGGCCTGTGCCCCCAAGTCTCAGCTGAACCTGCAACAGATGTCTACCCTTGAATTACTGATGGAACTAACAGGCTGCATTTCTGTCTTTTAGAGCTGATTTAAGTGGGTAGTACGGTAGTCCCCTCTGGTCTGTGGGGCACACGTTCCAAGACCCCCACTGGACTCCTGGGCCTGCAGGCAGTACTGAACAGAGTACATATATGCTGTTTTTTCCTACAATACGTATTTATGAGAAACTTTAATGTATAAATTAGGCACAGTAAGAGACTAACAGTAACTAATAATGACTAGAACAATTATAACAATAGACTGTAATAAAAGTTAGGTGAAAGTGGTCCCCCATTTCAGGGGACCCCTTGCTGGAGTCTTCCTTTGGACTCAGGGCTCTCTGGGGCAACACGTCGCCATCGGCCAGAGCACGTTTTCTCTTCGCCTCCTCCGCTCGTGGTCCGGGGCCTTCTCCGTCGCAACTGAGCACTCACCACACGCTGTGGCTGTGATGCTGGCAGTCTGAGGTACCACAGCAACACTAACAGGCGGTTTTTCCTCCTTCACAATTTCACACATAGAAAACTTGTTTCCTTTAGCATACAATTTATTTTCTTTCTATTAAGTCAAGAACTTGCACTCGAAGAACTTTAAGGCTGCTTGATGGCACACCTGAATTGCCAGCATCACTGCTCTTGTGCTTTGGGAGGGTGACTATTAAGTAAAACGAGTGTCCCTTGAACACAAGCACTGCAGCTCTGCAACCGCGGGTCTGATAACCGAGATGGCTACTCGGTGACGGAAGGGCGGCGAGTGTGCACTGTGGACACGCTGGACAAAGGGGGGTGATTCATGAGCAGACAGCGTGGAGATTTCATCACACTGCTCAGAACAGCATGCAATTCACAACTCATAAACTGCTATCTCCAGACATTAAGGTTTAGTACCTTTGACCTGCAGTAACGGGAACCGCAGAAAGCAGCACAGCAGGTGAGGGAGGGCTCTGGCATCACACAGTTACACGGGGGCAGCTTTTCAGCCACCACAGGGATAAAGCACCCATTTTGTTAAACTCAACATATAAATCTTTAAATACTTTAATACTTAAATTTGATAAAATTTAAGTACCATTTAAATAGTACTACTTTAAAATCGAAACAAATTCTTTCACAAATCAGTCTTAAAGTATTCCCAAATCATTCTCAATGAAATAAACAGGAGCCTGCACTCCTTAAAAATTGATAAAGTACATATCAGAATCACAAGGAAAACTTTTAAATCTTGATTCACATTCCTGTTTCAGGTACAATAGAAATTTTGAGAGATGTTTGGAACATTAAAGAGCTCACGCTCAATTCATCCTTTAAGAACTAATCACACATGTTGCCCAATATTCTGCATGAAATCAGGATATGGCACACTTTAGGCTTAAATATCTCTAATTAAAAAATGAAATATAAGCAAAGAAGAAAAATGCTTTGGAAAATAAAATCACTGGAATCATTCCCAACAAAAATTCACTCTTAACACTATAAAAATTGTAATGCCAATTTGTGCTAACTAAATAAATATATTTAATGGTTTTATTTTGTGTCATTTCATACACATGCCTTTAAAACACACTACCTGTAACACTTTAACTTCCATTTGCACATCTACATTCTTTGCCGTGGCACAAGTACGTGGCATTTTTCTGATGAAGCTGGTGTGAACAGAGTAGTCCACAACTTCCGTGCACAACACGGCACGGATGCTGCGAACAGAAAAGGCCGCTCACCTTGTGCCGGTCACTCGTTTGTAGCTGTCTTTGGAGTGCACCGCTAAGACGCTGACTCCCGAGCCAATGTTGACCACCAGCAGTGGGTAGGGGTCGTCCAGGTTAAAAGGCATCTTTTGGCATTGCTCAGGTTCTGAGGCATTAGCAAAATAATAGCACTCTGCTTGTCCATTGAAACTGACAGAATCTATATACAGCAAGCCCTTCACAAGACAGTCAAGTTCATCCAGTTTGTGCAGGTGGAGGTTTCCAATCTGGAAAAAAAGAATCAAAAAACGTTTTATAATGTTAACAAAGAACAGCATTCAGAATACTGACTCAATCATACTGTATAATTTTCATGTACTTTACAAAACTTCAAAGTCATCCATGACACCCACATTCTTCCTTGTTTTGTTTCATGTCAATATCCCTTTGGGACTCCATCTGGCCCAGTGGTTGTCAGTGACAGTAGTGTTACTCTGGGGGCAGTTTGGAAATATGTAGGGACACCAGTTTTCACAAAGATGGGGAAGAGGGACAAACCTAACATTCAGTACCAGAGACTTGGGATGCCAGACGTCTGCAATGGGTGGGGCAAGTTGTACAAAGCAAAGAATCGTCCTGTTTCCACATTCTCTAGGGCAGCAGTCCCCAACCTTTTTGGCACTGGGACCAGGTTCGTGGAAGACAATTTTTCCATGGACCTGGGGAGTGGGGGAGGAGACAGGAGGTGGAGCTCAGGTGGTAATGCCAGTATTGGGGTTTGGGGAGGAGCTGGCCTCAGGAGAGATGACTATACGGACATCACTCAAAAAGCTGCGAACAAAATGCAGCCACAGTGAAAGTAATTCAAGCCCCATTTTTATCTGGCTTTGTACACTGCCCAATTCATTAAAGTCTCTTTGACTGTTGCAGTCCCTAAAAGTGAGCAGGTTTTAGCAAATATAAGAACAACTGCCAATCTGGGCAATTTTTACTTATCCTATAAAGGTGTTTAAATGCCCCAAATCAAAAACTAGTCATGAATCAGCAGGAGGAACTAATCTAAGAAACATGCCAGATGGAAACCTAGCCTCGTATTTCAAAAACGAAAGGGGAAGCATATCAATTTTTGGCTTTGATGAACAGATACCCACTGTGCGAAAATCTTCTTCAAACTTGTAAGCACCACCTCCTGTAGCACAGAGCACCGTGTGTAAGGTTGAGAAGTTTTTATCTCGTCCCATTTGAATAAAAGTAGGCAGGTCCTGGGTTGGAAATCTGATAAAGTGCAGGTTCCCTCTCCGGCCAAAGAGCGTTAGATCCTTCAATTCAAGGTGCACATCCCGAATGCCGGTGGATCCGTACGCTACATTAGAAGTCAAATATTTCCGGATACTTTTCAGGCTCTCAACTTCTTCTTGCTCTTCCTCAGCTGTGATGTCAATAGGCTCAAAATATGAGAGCTTTACTAGCGTTCCCCCGATGTCCATGCCGAACCATGGGAAAGCTGCGGGTAAAAGAAAGAAAACAAGAAACTTTAAAAAAGTAAAATAAATTTAGATCATAATGTGGGAAGCTAGTGTAGCAATACCCTAAACAGGTACTATAAATTTATATAAACTAAGATGCAAGAAAAACTGACTAAATTTTCTTCATTTTGTTGGGTCGTTAGCAATGAAGGCTATCTTAAATAATACATTTTTTGAAACAAATTGACAGGTTATTTGCAATTAAGTAAAAAACAGAAACCATAGAATAATATATTCTTTGGTAGAAAGAAATGTGCTATCACATTTTACGTTGTTTATTCATGAAATGCAGAATTCCTGTTTTAAACAGATTTATGTAGAATTATTTTTTGAACTATAAGTTGCACTCCCACTTGGGAGGAATAATGGTTGTTAATGCTGCTGTTGAGTTCTGTTTACATTGGTGAAATGTCATTTATGTTATTAAATATTTTACCACATTTTTTGCTTCGAAAATTTTTTTTCCTATTTTCCTCCTCTAAAACCTAGGTGTGTCCTATGGTGCGAAAAATGTGGTACATATCAACCCCCCCATTCAAAGAAATCAGTAGCAGCAAGCCACAACAGTGACAGTTACAGGGAGTGGGCGGATTTCACAGCCAGCATCTGCTTAGACAAACACAGTTAAAGAAAACAGTATGGAACAGCTCCATTGGTCCAATAAACTGGAGATTCCTTCAGAATTTTCCAAATCTGTTAACACATCTATGTCATTAGAGTATACTTCCATGGCCATTAGATAAAATAGGGATCCTTCTGACATTATATAACCAAATGAATCCCCCTAATTTTTAAGAGATTTCATTTTTTTTATCTTAGAGGGGAAGGAGGGAGGGAGAGAGGAAGAGAAACATCAATCGGTTGCCTCTCATGCACCCCCCACTGGGGACTTGGCCCGAAACCCAGGCATGTGCCCTGACTGGGAATCAAACCAGCGACCCTTTGCTTCGCAGGCTGACACTCAATCCACTGAGCCACACCAGCCAGGGCTGAATTCTCCTATATCATTAATGCTTGATTACAGACTTCATGAGGAAGGGGGTGTGGATGTGGAAACCTCTACTGCCACATAAAGTACACTTTGGGATAGAAAAATTCCTACAAAGTGAGATTAAGCTGAAAACTTTTATTTTCCAAAATTCAAAACACATTAAAAATCATTTAGCATTCAGTTTTCCTTTCTGGGCCTTTGTCAATGTCAAACAGACACAGGTGTCAAAATGTGCATACCAATAAAAATGTTACTCAGAGAGCAAACTATAAAGCTGAAGCATTACCAGGTTCAAGGCTCATGTAATTTTATTTTCAGTCAAACCTGGCTGCTCCTAGGTTATAAATACCTGAATAATGTCATTCTGAAAAGCAAAAGTTCCAGTAACACTTACATGAAGAATTTTTAATTCTCACACTAAACCATGAATGATTAGGTTTCAAAAGAACTTTGCTGCCTAAAGTTTTTCAGGTTTATAGATAAAATATTAGAAAATTAACTACTTTTCTAAAGCTATGCATGAGCACCAAGGTTTTGACCCCAAAGGTGATACCAACAGCCAACTCCAAAATGCGTTAACTACTGAGTGGGGAGTAAAAAGGCTCACAGGATGAAATTCTGTTTCTAAAGTCTAGAGGGCAGGAGAATGTTGTTTTACTCTTTCCCAGAGAGAAAATGACTGTTTGGGTATAATTATCACCAAAATGATAAAAATGAAAAATGAAAACCTTCCTCTGCTTCCTAGGAGGCTTTTGTGGATCTGTTTGCATGAAACCACCAAACCTGTCCTATCTCAAAAGAGATGCAGTACACGGGAAGTAAAAAACATTTGTAAGCCCTGACTGATGTGGCTCAGTGGACTGAGTGCACTGGGCCTGCAAACTGAGGGATCACCAGTTCGATTCCCGGCCAGTGAACATGCCAGGGTTGTGGGCAGAGTTCCAGGTTGGGGGGCATGTGAGAGGCAACCACATATTTATGTTTCTCTCCCTCTCTTTCTTCTTCCTTTCCCCTCTCTCCAAAAATAAATAAAATCTTTTTAAAAATGTGTAGACAAATGTACAATAGAGTACTACCAAAGATCATGCTCTTTATCAAATAGATTATGTATGCAAAAGGAACCCACAAGTCTAACCATCTTGTCAAATGATTAGTCAGCAGTAGACACGTAGCCACAAGGGCTAGACTGTTCACTTCAAAAAAGCTGTATTACAAAAGTTTGGTATCTTGCCAAGTATTGGTAAAGGCGTGGGGAGAATCATTAAAGAGCTATTTACTTGCTATTGGCCCAATGCAGACTTCGGCCCAAAGAGATCCTATGCCAAATTAGAATTTCATTGTTTTTAGCATAAAGAGAAACCAAATGCCAGAAATGTTCAAAACACTTGGACTATTTTAAGGAACAAAATTCTAAAATGGGCCTGTGCACTAGCAAATTTCAGATGTGCTTCAAGTTCTTAGATAACAGACATTTTACTACTCCCAATCATCATTCCAAATAAAAATGCTGTTGTTTTAAACCAGACTAAGGAAATTCCCACCCCCCTTTGATAAATTAGTTATGGGTTATTAGAAACTATCATATGCAATTGTATCTTATTTACTACTAGAAGTGATGATACTTGTTTCAGGTACATAGTTCTATGACAACTCACCTGTGTACTGCATTGTGTGCTCAATACTCAAAGTCTAGACTCCACCCGTCACCATGTATTGGACTCCCTCTACCCTCTTCACCCTCCTCCCCTTTCCCCTCTGGGAACCTCCATACTGTCCTCTGTGTCTATGAGTTTGTACTTGTTGCTTTCTGTTTTATGTCCCACATATGAATGGAACCATGTGGTTCTTGTCCTCTCCCGTCTGACTTATTCACTTAGCACGATACTCTCTAGATCCATCCATGCTGACGCAATGGCAATGTCTCGTCATTTTTTATGGCTGAGTAGTATTCCATTGTGTAGATGTACCATCTTTCCTTTATCTAATCATGTGTCAAAGGGCACTTAGGCTGCTTCCATGTCCTGGCTATTCTGAGTAAGGCTCCAAGGGACATAGGAGTACATACGTCTTTACGAATAAGTGTTTTCAAACTATTTTCGTAGATGCCCAGAAGAGGGATCGCTGGGTCACATGGTAGCTCTATTCTTAATTTCTTAAGGAAACTCCATACTGTTTTCCATAGTGGCTGTACCAATTTACATCCCCATTAGCAGTGTACAAGAGTTCCGTTTTCTCCACTTCTCCAGCACTTGTTATTTCTTGTCTTACTGATCATAGCCACTCTAACAGGTGTGAGGTGGCATCTCACGCAGTTTCAGTTTGCACTTCCCTTACAGCTCGTGACACTGGGCATCTTCTCAGACAGCTTTTGGAAAAGCTTTCAGGTCTTCTGACCATTTTTAAAACTGTATTTTTTTTTGTTTTTGTTGAGTTACATGAATTCTTATATACTTTGGATATTAGTCCCTTATTAGAGATATCGTTTGCAAAATATCTTCTCCTATTCAGTAGTTGGCCTTTTTGTTTTGTTGATGGATTCCCTTGCTATGCAAAAGCTTTTTAGTTTGATGTAGAACCATTCATTTATTTTTTTCTTTTACTTCCCTTGCCTTTGAAGGTCAAGTTCACAAAACCCTTCTGAGACCAAGGTCCATAAATGTAGTACCTACCTATGTTTTCTGGAAGTGATCATTCTTAAGTAGTGACTCATTTTACAAGGCAATTCAAATTATACAGAAATAAACAAATAGATGCTATATAATTCTCCGTGGTTTTGTCAACACCTTCAGGTAACTTACTGCTTGGGTTAGCAAAGCACAGACTCCAAAACCTATGTCACATCAAATGTAAAAAATATATATATTTTACTACCACTTTGTTAGTCACTTCACATGCCACGCAGGTAAATAAAACCAAGGCCAAAGAGCCTATTACCTTAATAACCGCAGCAGTTGAGGTAGAGGAACATGTGATTGCTCGGATGTTTAATATCTAATATTTAGCAGTGTGAAAACCATAAAGGCAAAGCAAACAAACGTTACCCTTATTTCTGTTGTCAGATTGTAACTAGCAAAAGTTTCTCGTTAGGTTCAAGTCTGACTTCATCCTTCTCTGGGAACTGGATTCGTACATACTTTCAAAGGCTAATCCTGGATGAATTTTCTTATTTTCTAGTTAAATACGTGCATTTGGTTTATAATCTGGTCATATATTAGAGACGCATCTAAAAGCAAACGTCTTCTAAGACTCAGGTGAGCAAGACAGACAGTGCGTGAAGCCAAAGACTCTTGCGGAACCAGCATGAGACAATAGCTCCAGCACCAGCGCTGCCGCCAGGACTGAAGGATGCGGTGCGTGTCGACAGCACACACCAGGTGCTCGCTGAGTTTATGACTTAAAAACCCTACCCCAGCTCTCAAAAACAAAGTAAGTGTGTCTTTATCTAACCGGAGTGATCTAAAAAATCGGAAGGGACACTTTCCAGTTACATGTATTTCCAGGACAGGTCCTATTTTCTTCCCCACACACAAAAAAACCAAGATGTTCTTTACTTTTACCGTAAAGAATCAGTAGGCAGTCAAGTCACCTTTCATCTATGAGAAACTGAGAATGTGTTTTTAGACTTCTAAATCAAATGAACTGACTGGTTTTTCAGCATGACCCTATTTTAACATTAATTGTCTCACAATGTACCACAGTGTACTGACAGCCAACTTGATTTAGTCAATAGGCGTTCTTTCATTTCTCCACCTAAACTTTATTATCATCTTTACTGAAAACACCTTTGACAGAGGGGAGATTCAAATCTGATTCCGAGTTTTCTCAAATCTAAGTAACTACATCATTACCATGGCAAAAGGAAAAACAACTCGAGAGTCAGACCTGAGCCTGTCATACCCTTTGTGACAGCATGGATGGACCTGGGGAACATGATGCTAAGTGAAACAAGCCAGGCAGGCAAAGACAAGCACCACAAGTCACTGATACGGGGGACCCAATGAACAAACGGAACCGCCCAGCAAATACAGAGACAGACTCAGAGCGCAGGCTGACAGGTGGCGAAGGTGAGGCAGAGGGATTGAGGATAAAGGACTTCTGGACAAGGACAGCCATGTGGTGACTGCAGGGCAGGGGCGGTGGAGGAGGTGGGAGGGTATATGGGGGATAAATTGTAGTGGAAAGAAAAACAATTTAAAAAATGGAAAAGAAACAGGAAATTCTAAGGCAAGCAGATGAAATGTACACGTCGAGGGAAGATGCCCCAGAGTTTTACATACTGCATCTGTTCAAGAGAAGTGTAATTCAGCAAATGTGAATCAGAAGTGCTCCTGTAATCACGCTGTCATTTAGGCCTTCACATCACTGGTTTATATAGACTCCTTGAACAAAAACTCTTCAGCACAAGCAATTATTAGTTCTTTAAATGATACAATTTTTAAATTATATCATTAATTTTTTTTTAAATGGCAAATATACCTCCCAGAGCAGAAAGGTTTATGTTTCTCTAAGTGCACAGACTACGCTCTCTGGGCGCAGAAGAAAGAACATATAGACCATGATGAGCCAGTCGGCGGACCTAAGGCCCTGAACCTGCTTAGGGCACAGTTGGTTGGCTCTGCCTCGGAAAAGTTATTCTGGGCTCAATAAAGTTCAATGTCCTCACCTGCAAAATTAAGACCCAATTATCTTACATTTATAAAACAATTAGCCGTTGAGGGGAGGGAGGCCGGAAAAGGCCAGAGCTCCCCTTCATATCAGCTTTCTTAGAACTGTTGGATCACACTCGACTCTAACACTGCAGAACAGAAACACAGTTCTAAGACACGAGCATGCATCCCACATTCCTAGTTCTGCAAAAATGGACTTAAAGTGTGACAATCACAGTAGCTGTGTGATTAAATAAACCATTTAAATAAGTAAAAGGTTTTTAAAAAGCTCATAAAACAAATAAAAGTTGCTCTGCTCATAGAATGTTTTGCACCTACAGTTGTAAAAAAATCAATATTCATCAAAATATTTAACAGTGGCTAATATTAGTTAACCAATAGTACTGGTAAGCTTCGAGGGGCAGAAATACCTGCATTTTTTTAGCTTTTTGTTTCTTAAACAAACGTATACTAGTTTTTATTTTAAACAAAAGTAAGTCACTGGCAGGTAACAAGCACCCGCATTTAAAAGCTCCAATTGTAACAGCAGCGACAACCCCCAGGAACCCACCGGGATTTCAAGGACACAAGCAGAAAGCCCAGCAGCCAGGAAAGATGGGTGGTGACTGCCCCGGCGCAATTTGACAGCCATGACCACCCGTTTTCATTTTCAGCAAGAGTGCAGAGGAAGCTGCGAGAGGGCACTGGGGGCTGAGTTAAACATTCCCTCTCGCACCTCCCAGATCTTGAGGAGGAAGTGGGAGAAAGGGGCCAGGGGGCGGAAGGGGTTCGCAGGCAAGTATAGGGGGATGGGTCGGGCGCCTCCAACCCGGTGCTGAAAAGATCCCTCCGCCCAACCGATACGGGGTACCAGCCGTGAGCCAGGGGCTTGGACCAGGCCGCTTGGCCAAAGGGCTTCCAGACGGCGCCCAAGGTGTTCTCCCAGCCCAGCGAGCCCAAGCCCCCATCTTACAGGGTTTCTTGGCGTCCTTGATCTTCATGGCGACGGCCTTAGGGGCGAGGGGCAGCCTGCGTTCGGTGCACGGAGGGTGGTGACGGCGGCGGCGACTCCGGAGGTGGCTAGGCCCTGCGAGGAGGCCCGGCCGGTTCCACCCCTTCAGCTAGCCGGGCGGGGCGGGCAGGGCGGGCCTAGGGCGGGACGGCAGCGCCCGAGGCGAGGCCGGCCCAGGGGTTGGTCCCCCAACCCCCTAGAGGGGTGGCCAGGACCCAGCGAGCTGGGGAAGGCCGCCGGCCTCGCCTCTCCCGGGGGCCCCCGCCCCCCACAGCTGCTCTAAACAAAAGGCCCCGGTCCCCCAGTAGCCGCCGCCTCACTGAGAAATAGCCCGCCCAGGCCGAGCGCCCACGTGACTGGAGCCCCCCCTTCTCCCAGCTCCCAGCCGGACTGCTGGGGATTGTAGTTCTTTGGGTCATGAGGCCCCGTTCTCTGGCTGCAGTTGTGCGGATGGACTACAAGGCCCAGGCCACATTGCGGCCGCTCCTCCGAGGCCCCTCGCATTCGGGAGATGGCCTCAGAGTGGTCCCAGAGAGAAAGGGGCGGGGCCTCGATCACGCCAGTGACGAGGCAGCCAATGGTGACTGGTGTGGGCGGGCTGCGGAAGTCTAGCTGCCTGGCTTCATCCCACCGCCCGAGGAGAAGGAGGGGAAGGAACTTTGCTGATATTATTATGGCTGTTGGAGAAGTCGAAGTCGCAGACTTTCCCTTGAGGGAGGAAACCTGGTCATCCTGCCATGGGAAGTGCTAAGTCCGGGGCTGTGGAGACGCTCTTTAGACCGCTGAACGCACGTATAAAGTCATTCACAAAGGAATGTCCTGGCTTGATAGAGACACCACAAGTACTGGAGTGGGAGTAATGGTGTTGATAATAATAATGGCAACAATAGTAATAGGTAACGTGTATCGAATGGTAACCATGTCCAAGGCACTCTGCTAAGCACTTTCCGCGAGTTATTTGATTTACCTAAGCAGCCTTGTGAACTACGTACAATTATTATTATTAGCAGTCGTTTTGAAGATGGGGCAGGATGTGAGAAGTGAAATCACTTGTGGAGCGCCTGCTCTTTCCACAGTCCCCCTCAGGGGGCCCTGCACCCCAGCTCCTTCCTCCCCAAAGGGAAGTTGATTCCCAGAGAAGAAAATTAGATGTCCTAGTTCTCACAGTGAACCAGAGAAGTTGTCATTTGTGCTGCCTGTCACCTACCAGACCCAATAAGTAGAGACAGGGATTGAATCTTTGCGGGCGATTCATTCAGGTGGTCAGTGACCTGAGAAAATAGTGGGTTTGTACCCAGCAAACCGTTCTTAAATATTTGTTGATAGGGAGAAGAAAAGTGTCGGTCAGGGGAGTGGAATTCAGGGGGGAAGTTCAAAGTTAACCAGATAAAGAGGGGCAGCATTCTTGCCTCTGAGCCCTGGTCCCCCCCCACCCGGGGCACAGTGCCTCAGGGACCCTGGGATCGCCTGGGGCACGAAGGCCGGGCTGCTGAGGGTCTCCTGGAGTCAAGTTCGTGGAACAATAGCTTTTTACCACACACTGATTACTAAGCCTTGTTAGCTAGTACCTGAAACTAAAATTTTTTCCAACATTTGAGTCCCCTCCCATCCATAGCAAAGCCAGGGCACCCCTTTCCGTCCTCTTCCTGGATTCTGAGTCTGGTATCTGGAAGGGAAGGAGCCACACTGGGGACCTTCTCCTGGCCTCCCCTCCACATCTATCCCCCAGTTCGCCGACCAGCAATTCGGTGACTTTTGTCACGAAAGGTTGGAGAATTGGCAGTGGAGGGTTGAGCCTTACTGCCCCTCCCTGGTACAGGACGAGCCAAGGGACGTGAATAATGACAGGAGGAGGGGACCCAAACCGCCACGCAGGGGGCACGTTCTAAGAGCTGGCACTTTGCTAAGCATTTTCCTTCCTACATTTCAAGTCTAACCCTCACCACCACCCTTCGAAACAGAATGATAAGAACTCAAACTTGAATTCACATTGTGGTCCTACAACTTGATAATAAATGTAGGCAAACCAGTTCATCTCTCTGGCTCTCCCTGGAGATAATGATGCCAATCACATTTCAGGTGATTGAGATGGCAGTTAGATAAAAGAAGGCATGTATAAAGTGCTCAGTGCATTGCCTGGCGTGCAGGTACTGATAAGTAAGTGACGTCTATGTTCATTATTGTTTGCATTGTTATCCTTATCTTAAAGATAAGAAAGGTTAAGTACCTAGACTGCCCAAGGGAAGTATTTAAGGCTAGACCCCAGTTCTGAAAGCTACTTTGTGCTTCCTCCCCTTTGGTTATTTTTATCCCAGGTTCCACATTTGTTGTTGGGAAATATGGTTTTTTATTTAGATTTTTAAAAATAGAAACATCCTTCAGAGCCCCCAGATAATGTGACCTGATAACTGAGAGTCCTGAGTGGTAGATTTAACAACCTTCTTTACCCTCTTGTTGCTTCTTTCCACACAGACCCCCACGTGGTCCCAAATGGTCTTGTTTTCCCAGAGTTCTGTTGGGTGAGAGTCGTGATTTCTGATAGTACATGGCTTCATAGAGTGTTCACGGTCCCGCGTGATCCACCCACTGATTCTTGAAGTCTTGTGTGCACACCCTGTTCTCTGTCAACACATATCTATTTTCTGGTTGTCTTCCTGCCTCTTTTTGATAGCATCAGCTTGGAAGTCAAGGGGAGTGATACGTGTGGGTTGGCCATGGTCCAAAAGGAAGGAGAGCTAGAAATGAGACGCCACAGGCGTCTGGGTGAGTTTTGGACATGGGGTCTTGTTAGTTTCTGTGGCCACAAAGATGAGCGGACACTCGGATGACTTAGCTTAATGTCCTTGAAAGTCAGGTTTACACCTGTGATGGTATGTGCCAGAAAAACAGTGACCTTCACAGAGTGAGGATTCTCGGCTCAGACGAGGCACGGAATTTCTCTGTGATCCTGGGAAAGGCCTTTCTCCTCTCTGGGCTTCGAATCACCCATCTGTAAAATGAAATGATTGTCTGAGATTTCTTCCACCTCTGTTGTCTGAGATTCTCTTTTCCTGAAGCATTGTGAGACATGTCCCACTATGTTCTCTGTCAAGTTTTCCCCAGTGTAATTAAAACGGACAGGCCACCCTGCTTCAGTTTCTGGCCGAAGTCTCTCCTGCAGCCCCTGCTGGCTGTCAGCCCCAGGCGCTCCCTGTGGCACTGTCCAGTTAACTACATTTTCTCTCTTCTCCAGCATGTCCTCAGAACCCTTCCTGGCAGAGTGAGTGTGGGGGCTGGGAAGAGCATCTAAAGGGGCCAAGAGACTGTCTTTCTGTCTCAGTATTTATTATTTACCAAACACAATAAATCCACCCCATCTTTGCTTTTACTGAGTGGGTATCCATGGAGACAGGGGGTACATTGTACATAATGATGACTATGAGGTCTCCTGGCATGAGTTAAATACACATCCCCCCAGCTTCAAAGCCCACACAAAGCTTGTAACAATGGATCTGTCTCTAATTAGATGGTCCAGAACATGCTGTGGTTAGTCCTTGGACCCACACACTCGAGCCAGCATCTCCCCGTGGGAGAGTATCACTGGTATGAGCAGCGTCGGGGTTATTGTCATCGTCATCGTCACCATCATGATGGTGGGAATGCAGTTTTGTCCAACAATTTTTTTAAAGGTTTCATTTATTTTTATATAGAGAGGAAGGGTGGGAGAAAGGGAGAGAAACATCAATGTGAGAGAGAAACATCGATCTGCTGCCTCTCACATGCGCCCCTCGACTGGGGACACATCTGGGCATGTGCCCTGACCGGGAATCGAACCAGTGAGCTTTCACTTTGTGGGATGATGCCCAACCAACTGAGCCACCCCAGTCAGGGCTCACCCGACAAATATTAACTATGAGCTTTAACTATGTTTTCGGCACTGCAGTACATGCTGGGGTGGGGGGAAGATGAGCGAAAAAGAGAGAAACGAAAATCAAGTTAGCAAATCGGTGCACAAGAGCAGGCTGTGACGAGTGATGGGAAGGAAACCATCGGGTTGATGGGCTAGATGCCACCTGGAGTGGCAGGAGAGGAGGAGGCTCCTTGTTAGTTTGGATGGTCAGAAGAGGCTCTCCGCGGAGGTGGCCTGGGAGCCGAGATCCAGGCAGATTGCTGGGGAAGACGGAGGTGTGACTGGCACTGGAGGTAGGTTCGGTTTGAGGAAGAAAAGCAGAGCATGGGGAGGAGGGAGCAAGGAGGGGAGTGAAGTGGGAGAGGCAGGCCTGCTGGCCCTTGCGGGCCACCGGGAGGTTTTAAGTAGGAGAGTGATGTGCTCCGTGACTTTAGAGGGCTACTCGGGCTGCTCTGGGGAGGATGGGTGCACTGTGGGGTGGGGGGCCAGGACCTGGAAAGACTAATCACCTCAGGCTCCTCCCTCACCTTCGTGCAGTCAGTCACCAAGTTCGAGAGGCTCTGGAAGCCGGGTGGGGGCTCGAATCCGTGCAGTGCCAGTAGAGAAGTGCGTGAACCAAGAACTGCACTTAACAAGTGCGTGCCTAGCTCCTGCAGGGCGCCGGACTTCGTTCTAGGGATTAGGGAAGCAGAGAAGGACGGGACAAAGCCCCACCCCCTGGAGCTTACACTCCAGAGGGCGCGTAGACGGGAAACAAGTCGACGGATGTACAATATGACTTTGGATAGTACGAAGTAGACAGAGAGTGTATGTTTAGATAGAGATGAGAAAGCAGGAGCTGGGGAGCAGGAGCGAGGAGGCCATTTGAGACAGAGCGTGGTTGCGGACAAGTTAGATGAGATGGAGGCAGGAGGAAAAGGGAGGCAGGAGGCAGGGATGTGAGGGTTCGGCTTGCGCTTTGGGGTGCAGAGTAGTGCCACCTCCCCAGAAGGAGGAGCACAGGGAGTAAATAAGTGGGAAATCGGGGTGCTGCCTTGACCTTGCTGGTCACCAGGGCCATGCTGTCCTCAGACTGGGGGTACAATCCATGTTTTATCACAGGAGCCAGCTTGTTTGAGCAGTTGACAGTTTGTATGTTAGCCGCCCCCCACCCCGCCCCACCGCCCCCAGCTTGGTTGTCTCGTACTTCTGCCCTGCCCAGGAGTGAGTCCTCCCAGGCATTTCCTTAAGAGAACAGGAAAGAGCCTCTCTGGAGCCCAGTCCTGCCTGCTGATCCCCACCTCCTGGCACTGCTGCAACCTCAACAAGTCCATTCTGGAACTCATCATCCTCCCACTCCCCTCCTCTTGCCTAAAGGCCCTGCCTCGGCTGGTGGCACCAGCGTCCACCCACTCACACAGATAGAAGCTGGGAGTCATCCCGGCGGCGCTCACCCCCTCACA